GACATCATCATGTGAGGTTGACTTTGTGACCTGGAGAACATTTCAGCTGCAACATCAGCTCGTTGATAAGCTTGGGATGTGAGATCTTTTTGTAGCCATTCGTGGTGAAGGCATCTGTGCTTTGTATGCATTATGTTTGACCCAACATTTATACAGTCAGAATATGGCTCTATTTTCACTTGAATGTTTTAGCCCTTGTCTGTTTGTATACCACGAGCTGCAACATGACCGCCTAACCCCACTTTACAGTAAGCTAGTGTCCACAACGGAGGGTCACGTGATGTCCCATCTGACCTGTTGCTACGGTCTGCAGAAGATGCAGCGTTGCTGGCGTTTAGTGATGGTTGCTTTAACCATTTGTGTATAAATGATTATCCACAGATGATGTGTGTCACTGCTGTGGAAGCACTTTGGAAATGATGCACGCGCAGCGGAGCAGGTCACGCGCACCTGACACAAATTGTTGTTTGTATTTTTCGCTTCCGTTCTCTTTTTTGAATAGAGGGTGCATAACATTCAACTGCCCCGAAGATCCCGACGCGAAGCCTGAACGGTAAACACACCAGGTTTACTAATCTACCCGCACAATTTGTCTCGGTGTCGGAATGTCTCGCGATGTTAGTACATTCTTAAAAAACAAAACAATTTGGGGTGAAGTGTCTCAGGGACACAACGACATGCTGACTGCAGTGGGACTCGAACTTGCCCTGATTCGAAGTCCAGCGCACTATCCACTGAGCCAAAGCCTCCCATATGCACACACACACGGTGAGCAGACAACTGAAGCTTTGGTCATCTTAATAATACATAAAAAAAAGTGAAGTGTAGTTTTTTGTCAAGTGTGTCCGAGAAACGTTGGTGTAATTTCAAACGTGTGGAAATATAATGCTTTAATAATTCTGCGCAATTAAATGCACCCACCCATCAAACTAAAACAAACTTCTGTTTCCCTTCAACCCTTAATAACTTCAACCAAAGCCCTTTTTATTAACAGTCGACGGAACAACGTACATAACACTAACCCTGACTTTATCAGTCACGTTATGATTAGGCATCATTTCATTCACATTTGTTTTGTATTATATATTTTTTAGTTTGATTGCATTTTTGGTATTTAATTTTATTGTAATTTATTACCCTTTTTTTTTTAATTTTTATTTATTAAATGTATGATCTTCTTACATTTACATTTCTTTAATGTGTTACATTTTAAGTTTGATTGTCTTTTATTATATTTAACTGTAATATTTTATTCTATTTCAAATAATTGTCTTTGTTACAATTTTTCTTCACATGCGTTCACGCTTGCATTGAGGGATATTGTGCATCTCTTCTGTCGCAGCATGTGTAGCTATACAAGTTCCATATAATAAAAAGGGCTCATAAAATACCAAAGTGCAAAGAGAAGACACTCCTATCCGTTTGCACTTTGGTTCATTAGTGTGCAGTGAATTCATTACAGTCACATAACCTTCTCCATTAGTGCTCTGGCTCTTTGACAGACAAAATGTTATATTAACGACCTTACATATCCTAAAATCTGGTGTGAGAACTATACAAATATAGTTCTAAAGCCAAAGTGGAATAAAAAATAAACTTGGCATGGAGTTTTGGTTCTGTCACAGTCCTGTCATTTATATGATATATCTGTGTCAGTGTGTAATTAGTGTAACTTTAAAGTAAACTAAAGCTATTATTAGTCACTTTAAAAGTATGAAGTATTATGTTTTAGCACTTCCTGTTTGCAGCTATCACTACATTTAAAAACGTGCTAAATCTCAGGCAGGTTGTGAAGTCTTTTTTCAGCGTCTAAGCACTTAGTGTTGATTAGCATTTTAAAAAGCTAATGATTGTTCCTTAATGTCTGCTTAATTAAAGCTGGTTTGTTGTGTCCTTGTGCTTTAAAGTCATTTCAAGTGTTTACGACAAATGCCACCCTGGTTTTTCCACTCAGACACGTGGAGTAAAAGCTTAAGACAATAACATTTTGACTTTCCTCTCCACTGTGTCACTGAGACTTCTTCTGCACGGCAGGTTGGTCCGGTCTGATGGAGCTTTTTCCAGAGAGGAAGGGGGCGATCTTCTCAAACAGCAGCACGCAGCTCGCCACACCTGGTGGGGGGGGGGAGAGGCAAAGGAAGTTACACTACAATTGGCTGAATCACCAAACAGATCATTGCAGCATTACCCATAATCCCCTCTGTTTCAGCCCTGTTTCCAAAGTGCTGATTCTCTGTCTGTTACTTTAGATGAAAATAAGGAGCCCCTCCCCACGCCCCTCTGAGAGACATTTGGTTACAAAGAACTCAATGGAGCTCTAGGAGGAGATTCAGATGATAAGGTGGTGATTGGCTAATGGTTACACAAGCCAAAAAAAACGTTATGACATCATAAAGTGGCCAAAAT